TACATGAAAGGATAGATTATCATGTTGTAGTTGTTTGTAAAGTGAGAGACGCATCCATCACTCAAATATATAATTTTAGAAATAAACAGATAGACAGATTCAAGGGGGGAAAAGCGGAATGAGACGGAATGGCCCATTCCATACCATTTTTTACAGTTTTTCCATTCTCCTTTTTTGAGAGGCTTATGGAATGCGCTGGAATGGGCCACATTGGCGCTGAGTGAGAACCTCTATTCCCTTGACTGTATAGAAAAAGGTCTCGTAAAAAATAAAATGCCTGTATGTATGTTTGCATGTATGTATGTCTACAGAGCGACAATCAAAATTGCTCTACGTTTGTAGTTTCATGGCATACAGTCATGAAACTTTTGGGAATTTTTCGTCACTCCGGATCAGCCCATTCCGGCCCATACCAGCCCATTCCAGAAACGCTCTTTCCCCATTGATTGTTTAGCTCCCATTGTTCCTATGCTCCTAATGTTCTTATATTTCCTATAGTTCTCAATATTCCCAGGACATTAGAACAAGGCAGAAACAGCAGACTCCACATGACTATTAACAAATGTGTTACATTCTGGGAAATATTCTCCCAAAAAAGAACAATGTTTCTCCTTTGTTAGGAAAAATTCTCAAAAATGCAACATTTTGTTCGCATATGTGGGCAATTTGTCCCATATTTAGAACAAGTGCCCTGTTTGGGAAAACAAATCTAGTGTGCTGTAGTGTTCTGTTATTGAGAACTTTTTCACAAGAAGGTAGATCTAACATTCTATTTCTGGGAAATAAATGGGTTTAAGCAGCAGAAGTATTAGGTCTGATTCTCCATAGTCGAATACCTCTAGTGTGAAAGTTTCATGACTGTATGCCATGAAACTACAAACATAGAGCAATTTTGGTTGTCGCTCTGTAGACATACATACATGCACACATACATACAGGCATTTTATTTTTTACGAGACCTTTTCCTTTACAGTCAAGGGAATAGAAGTTCTCACTCAGCGCCAATGTGGCCCATTCCGGCGCATTCCATAAGTCTCTCAGAAAAGGAGAGTGGACAAAACTGTAAAAAATGGTATGGAATGGTACGGAATGGCCCATTCCGTCCCATTCCGCTTTTTCCCCCGTGCTAACACCTCTATCTCAATCGTTTCTGTTGCTAATGTTCCAGTAATACTTTTCACGACTATACAATAGTCCCTTATAGTCCGTTATAGTACCTTATAGTCCCTTGTAGTCAACTATAGTACCTCACAGTACCTTAGAATTAGAATAGAATTCGAATTATTTTACAATTCATTTTTTTGAATTACTCTGTAATTCATTTCGGTCATCCAGTGAGTCATCGGGTGCCAGTCTTGGGACTCGTCGGAAATGCGATACAACGCCCGAACCGCAGAAAATCAAGGTCTCACTTTACTCCCATTTTGAAGAGAACACCCTGGACTATCAGCACATGAAAAAAGTCAATAGATTCCTGTTTGAATTTCGGAAAGTGGAAGCTAGTTTTCTAAAGATCTTCTGATAAACCGGCTTCGAAAACTTTATCGAAAATCAGTTTTGCTTATGAAAAGGTAGCCTCAAGTCTTGGCTCTCGCCAGTCTCTACCTTTATCTAACGCTGAGTTATTCAAAAAGTAACCACTGCTATTGCATTTTGGCTCCAATAATAGGCTTGAAACATTTAAATTTGTTAATGCTCATCAGATTCAGACTACCTAGGTAATCTACATTTTGCTACTCCTTGCGTGGTCGTACGAGGCAGTAGTTACCGTTGGCTCGTTGTCGGCTAAATATGGTTTATGAATCAATAATATTTCTGAATATGATATTTTTATTGTATAAAAACCCAATACGATTTTCCACATAGAAAAATTACTCATATTTTGACCGAAAAACTAAAATCAACGCAAAAGTCTGAAATATATATTGTTCTACAGATATTCTATGGGGATATTCCATGGATGGATCCAGGTTTATCCCCTAATCCGGCAATCGATTCGTATGGCGCTTATTTCCAGTAAAGTCGAATAAGAGTTTTATATACATTCAACTGTCGCGAACGCTTAAGAACTTTTAAAGTAGAGAGCCAAATCTGCACTTTGTATACAGATGTCAGGTGGAACGGCTAGCATTAACATAATTCTCACAACATCCAGTTTCTATTGATCTATCAGAGGATTTCTGCGAAAGTTACCAATACTGGTATGTATTTACAAAATGTAGATTTGACTCTCTACCTTAAAAGTTCTTTTAAGAACTTTAAAGGTATTCAAAGTTCATTATTAGTGTGGTTCAGGAGTTATTTGTCTCACAGATGGATTATCACAATGATTGAAGGCAGATATTCATCTAAACAGATTATAAATCGTGATGTTCCTCAAGGATCCGTTCTTGAGCCGTTGTTGTTTTTAGTACATAAAAACACAGCCAAATATCTATGTGGCATATGTATATATCATATTCCTGTGCTCGAATACATATACAAAACCATAAACAAGTCTTTTTGAAGTTATCGTGCCACATAAATTATGTGCTATACATGTTGTGGAGTGTGTCTCTTCTCCAAACAAACGAGATAATTTGAGTTGATCATTAAGGTTAACTCTGAAAAAATCGAACATCATTATCAGTTCCATACCTTCATTACGGAGAGTATTGTTAGGGGGAAGATCAAGAATTGATATGTTTGTGAATCACCAAACGGTTCAATCACCCGTGGAGTTTTTATTCAATTCTGTTATTCTGTTCAGCTAAAGCGTATTGTCTTGACAAGAATCTACAATGTGAAATTATTCCCGTTCTTATTAGATCTCCAGGCAGGTAGTATCAATCTGTTTAACATTTCAAGCATTACTTGAAAACAATTATTTTGTGTTTGATTTACATCAAAAATTTTTAGTTGCTTGACCACATTTTTTTTTGTAGATTAAATACTGTACAGGCATCTCATTTTCATTTTCTTAACATTAAAAAAAGGAATTTTTTTTATTCATAAGACTTATTTAAAGTGACTATAACATAATGGAAACATTTCAGAATTTTCAATACCTGAATTACAAAATAAATATGTCAGTTAATTATCAAGATCCATTATGAAAAAAAGACGCTAATCATAATATCATCGTCCATATCGAAAACTCTTTCTAGGACCACGTTCGGTACCCCTGAAACATGACTACAAACCATATAAATAATTGCCATTTAATATTATAGAATAATTATAATTATTCACGACTTTTGCCATGTTTAATAAACATGCAGAAAACGTTTTCCTTCTAAAATGAAATATAATCGTTTTGTATTATCATGCAATCACGGGGACAACTCAAATAGAATAAAAAGACTACACTTCGTCTAATGAACATTTCTGCAGCAACGTGCCATTCATTTGAAATAAAACATGTTAATGTTACACTGATTGGCAGTGAGTAAATAGAAAAGAGAGAGGAAAATATTTTTTTTATTTTTATGTTTGACACATTAATTATGATTAACTCCAAATGCGTTTATATACCTAGAAAATATTTTAAAACAAAAATTGTTGTTTTATAACGTTGTGCAAGAAAAAAAACAAACAGAAATACGTGCGAATGTGTAAGTTGAAAAACTGAAAATCATGTGTAATACATTACACAGAGGTCTTCATTCTGAACTGGAAACTAAGGGATATTCAAAGACGTAGGTAAATTTAGCACCAAATTTGTATAGTTTAACGTCAGATTCATCAATAAACCTTGTCCAAGACAAACCTTTCTTGGTCCAAATAGAGCTTGATAAGTCCTACAAAAGGGTGTATTTTGTTTTTCTATACAAAAGATGTTTTTTTCAGAAATACTTAAAAAACTGTTTTTTTTAATAGGAAAAATCACAGTTTTTTTAGTAAGCATTTCCCCGATTGATTCCAAGGCTCAATTCAACACTAAAACGCACATTGTGTGAAAATGTAGAGATTTTCAGAAAAACTAGTTTTTCTCTTGGGTTGCGGAATAAAATATTTTAGGACTCACGTCCAAACTTGGTCCAGACTAGAAACAACCTGATTCAATTAGAGTTCGATATGCGCTACAAAATCCCAGTTGAAGTTCAGATTTTAGTAGGTTGGAGTTGGGTTTTTGAATTTTTATTCTGAACTCCGTTTGCATTTTTGAAAATATTCAATAGTTGTAAACTAATCTTTTAAACGATTGAGTGGCTGTATTCACGAGTGAAGTCAGAAGTTTTTTTTGTGCCTTCCTGGCGGAAAATGCTCAAAAACGGCCAGAATCCTGCTAAAAACCGAAAAATCTTTCTTACAAAAGTGAAGTAACCGGAGTTGAACAGGAGTTGCGATTTTTGTTGAGAGAATTGGAGTTGAACATCAGCGGAGTTGCCCAGCCCTGATTCATTGATTAGTGAAGCCGTGCCAATATGTTTATTAACAAGAATGTAACTGAACAAAAATTTCGATTTAGAAAGTTGTATTGACGTGATCACTAATGAGTTGAAGCAGTCTTTTTGCCTGTATTACAATTTATCATTCACTCGTCGAATAGCATTTTCAACTTCTATAACGTGATGATCACAATGGGGAAATATCGAACGCCGAATTCTTGCGGATTTCTCGTAGAATTGTGCCGCTAATTCGTATTTGTTTGTATTTTCGTAGACCAAAGCCATACCGTAATATGTCCAGGATACCTTATAATGGTTTTCTGGAAGTGTTTTTTGTTGAAAGACTATTCGCAAAACACGCCTTCGATAATCGAAACATTCGTTTGCAGATAGTATGGATGAGAATCGTTTTGCTATAATTGAGATTCAGTGTAATAAATTGTTGTGTTAAATCTGATGATTTAATGTATTTTTTTCCTACTTCTCTTTTTGCACTGAAGACAATGTAAAATCTTTTTCATTTGTTAACCCTTTTTGGGAACAATAAATATATATATGTTAAAGATAATATGGATGAAGATATATCTTAGAGTGTAACTTATTTCCGGTATTGGTCCCTCAAATGCATCATCACACAGTATATGAAAACTCCCGAATTCTTAAAGCTTTTTCGAAGTTCATCAATGCAAGATCATATTTTTTCATGTCACCATAGACAAGACTAATATTCACTTGCGTAGCGGCAATCTGAGGATGATGAATAGGAAGTAATTTTTCTTTTATAACCAGCGCTTTTCCTAAATTTTCTAGTGCGCGCGAATATCGTTTCTGTTTCCAGAGCGTTACACCTATATTATTGTAAGCGTATGAGGTTTTAACATGATCTTCTCCATAAAAACTAACATAAATTTTTAGGGCTGAATCGTAATACTGTAATACTAACTCTAACCGTCCTGTCTCATCGTATACAACAGCGATACGGTTATAATCATCCGCTATTTTTGGATTATCCGATGGCATTGTTTTTAAATCAGGTTTCATTCAACAACAGCGAGTTTATGTTACATGCACTGTTTTATATATTCAATTTTATTTCGACAATCGGAATGTGCATTATATTAGAATAGTCTAGCTTGTTCAAGTGCTTTATTACATAAAGCTAATGCATTGTTGTAATCTCCTCGATGGGCCACTATAGAACCTAAACCCTCATAACACTTTGAGATATCTGGACTATCCGCTACTAATTCACGTAGTACTTTTTCAAAGTATCTATGGCCTTTGTCATATTCTCCCATATCATCTAATAAATTTCCAAGTGATATAAGGTTTGTTCGTTCTCCTAGTTGTTGTTTTTCGTGTTCATAGACTCCTTTTAAATTTTGATCACCTTCACTACACATTTCTAATGTTGCTAGCCAAAAATGTTTTGTGTGCTTATATTCAACAGATTTAATTGAAAATATACTACCCAGCATGAACAATATCTCTCTTCCTGTTGAAAATAACTTTTTAATTTTATATCAGCAAATGGTTGAGCGCTTGTAAGTCGAGTATTAGCATTAATTTCGAACAATATGGGTTGTAATGAATTGTTGTCGTTTTAACTATTATTATTAGTTGTTGATATTATCGATATTGCATAATCACTATTTCGACTTGTTGATAAAAAACTGTTCATTGATATAAATTCACCAATACTATTTTTTAATCGATTTATTTCATCGATCGAAATTACTTGATAACGATAGACACGTATAACACTTTCTTCTTGAATAAACGAAAAATCTTTCAATTGTGTATAGATGTCTCGAATGAAAAAACGGAACGCAAACAATATATCAATATCGTTAGAGATTCTTCAGCTAGTATGAGACATTATCGAAAGTGGTAAAATATTTGATCGAAATGAATATCTGTGTGCTTGCAATATTTGAACAAATGGATGACACGTAATGCTTTATTCAAAAGACGGTATAAACAACATTCACGCGTATACCACCAAATGGCACGATCCGATGAATAGGTATGTTCAAATTCATCAATAACAGACAATTCACGAGTATTTCCAGCGTAATTTTGTTTACATATCGTAATAAGTTCATTTTTAGATGTGTTCGAATATTCCATTCGCAGTAGGACTTCAATAAATAACTGTGACCACATAAAATTATTATTTTCTGTTTTGAGATTTTTACATGAGTTTTCTTCTCGATTAAATATACCGAAAATGGCTGTTAATGATTCATTTCTCTCCCGTAAACATTGATCTTTGGCAAGGGTTAAAACGAGTTGATCAAAGTTTTTGATAGTTGTTATAATCTGTTTATGGAGAAATAAAAAAGGGAAAATATCAATCCTGGTAACGCTTGTCTACAAATATTGTACAATTTGATAGAGAAGCAAATCTGTCTTTGGTTCATATGAAGGCAGTGTTATTTCTCTGCCTACTAGAAAAACGTTTCTATCACTCACTTTCGTGTATTTATTTGCCCATGTCTCATTATCATTATTAGCACTGCCAGTAGTATCGTTCAGAGAATAAACATAAACGACACTTAATTGTGATTGATCATGAATACGAGACGTGATATTCTCAGCATATCGCTTAGATACGATTAGTATAAGTTTTTCATTTTTGACTTGTTTAATATATCTTTCACATTCGTCTTCATTATCAAATGGTTTCAAAAAGTTAATCACTTGTCGGAAAGCCAGTTGCACATTGATGTAACAGTTGACATTTTCATCTAACCAAACAAGAGAAAATGTTTCTAAATTCTTTTCTTGTCTTTTTTCGAATATCTCTTGTTGGTATTGTTTAGGTTGAACATTTAGTGTGTCATCCGTCTTCAGAGCCATGTCATGTTCGGTTCTCCTAAAAATAGATGCATACCAAAACAGTTCTGATCTCTCCAGATGGTAGAATTTAAGCGTGAAACAGTGCTACCAATGTAGATTCCACATCAATTGTTCGCTACGACGTCAAGCTTCCCGGGAGAATACCAGATAGAATTCTTAATGTAGCAATTCTTTTCTGTTTAATTTTCGTTTTATTGCATTGAAATGAACAAATTATAAGCATTGAAATTCTGCCGGAATTAATCTGAAATTCCAAAATCTCATAGAACTCTACAAATCAAGGCATTGCTAAATACTACCCTCCTTCCTTTTAAAAGTACGGAATGTTCTGAATATGGGATTCACACCTTATATATGACTTACATTTATCGTTTGCAAGAGAATTTATTGGTTAATACAGTTGAAGTAGCGAATGTTGAAATTAAGCTGTGACTTATTGCTGTTGCTTACTATCATACCGGACTTTATGCGACTATTTAAATCTTTTACTTTTCTTTGAAAGTATTATGCGAGAATACATGTACTGTACAGAAAAATTTGCAATATTTTAACGTCAAGTAAATAAAAGGAATATTGAATATTTGTTGGCAAATAATACATACATTTATATAGGAAGCGACGATAAAAGTGATATCATTTAACTCATTTTCGTTTAGAAAGAAGTAAAAACGAAAACAAACGTTGTTCACGAATATTTCTTTCTTTGATATAATTCACAGTGTCAACAAACATACGCTTTTTTTCCCAGCATCCATATTTTATTCTTTCGTTTTCATGTATATATATAAGCAATGATTCTGAGTTATGATATCGAAAAAATTATTTCTAAAATCTGAGAAAGATTAGAAATAAGAAATGTACATTGAATTACTTGATAGCAGCTACTATAGAGGGTAGCTCTCTGATTTGGATAGTTGAAGAAATCCATATACCACGGTCCTGATACCAAAAATATGCAATCTTCATAGAATTCTTTTATCTTAGCATCCAAAAGTGCTTTATACTAATAGCATATGCAAAACTTTACCATGGAGGTCACAATCCAGCGACTTCTGTGCCCGTCGCAAGTTCGGGCAACGGAGGTGCGTGTGACGGAAGGGGTGCAGATACCGCCGTCTATAAAAAGAAAAGACGAAAGAAATCAACCATGTGCAATCGCTATCAAAAATCATACCGGCTCGGACGTCGCCCTGGTGAGCAGTGTCGCGTCCTCTGTCGAGGAACCAGGACAGAGTCGGAAAATCGAATCGCAACCCTCAGGACCTGTTCCACTTAGCGCAGGACAGATACCAGTGGAAAAAACTAATGAAAACAATGGTTGGCCCCTAACGGGCGATAAGCAATGGGATATTATTTATTATTATATGCAAACTGGTTCTAGAAAAATTAAGTTTGAGATAATTAAAACTCAAAGGAACAAAAATATTCATTGAACATTAGCAGAACCGTTTAATTTTCAAGGAGCATTTTGAAAATCTATCCAGCTTTTCCAATTAAAGGATACAGCGATTTCTTCAATTTCATTTGGAGAAATCATGCTTTATGGGCTAAATGTCAAACAAACCTAATGCGAAGAGAGAGAATACTTCGAACTTATTTTCTTCCTGACTTGTAATTGCCACAGTAACAGAGGCCACAGTAACAGGACAGAATGGAAGGAAACAATTTCAAACGATAGTTTCTTTCTTCTGAAGTTTATCCGTGCCGCTTCTGAACTTCAGATGTTCTCCTCAGGCGTATTTCAAATGAATGCAGCTGTTACGAAGATATGGTTGAGAGATAGGTTTGAAGTTCTGTAATAAACTGTAACATACATATGGCTGTATAGCCAAAATTTGCGTTAGAACCGATAGCATTTTCAGAAAAGTCGATTTTGAGAAATAGCTATCTTAGCTATACATTAGCAAACAGACAGCTAGTTTAGGAATTTATCTGTCAGGAGAACAAAGAAGAAACATTTTTCTAGCGAGTTTGCGAAGACGTCTTCAGTAAAATTAGTGCCACAGTGAGATCCGAACTTTGAACATACTTTATGTACGTTATTATTGTCCTCAGTTACTCTAACATATTAATTGAGGAAAGTAGGGGTATTATTCGTGGATCTGATGCCCCTTAATTTTTGTTTCAAACATTTTGATATAATTATTCTATATTAATAATCAATTCAAAGCGAAACATGACCAGAGTTAATCAGATAACGAAGTTGAAAGAATATTAATATACAATTTTGTTTTTCCAACTTTTGATTACTACATCAAGAAAATAGAATATGTACAATATCATGCAGCACTACTTGTGTTGCGAGTCATGAATGGATCTTTGATCTTATTTTAGTCAAGCTGTACATTGAACTGTTCGGAGTTATTCACTAGCTAATAAACTCACACAGTGTAAAAATATGATTTTCTTTATTCTAGCAGCATGGCAACAATATCAGAAACAGTAAAATCGATCGCATCGTCAACAAAATATAACGAGAACGAATATGATAAATTAATAAGTAAGTTGCGTTTGGTTTGATTCATCTCAAACAATAGCTCTTTTTACATTATTTATCACTCTTTAGATCGAACATATTCAACAGTCATACTGCTTTGCGTAGTGTTTATTATATCATCCAACACATTATTCGGAGCACAAATTCAATGTTATTCAAAGGAATTGCCGGATAAGATGTCTGTAAATTATTTAAATAGTGAATATTGGCTGACTAAAACTGGGTAAGTGGTTGGTTATTTTAATCTTAACTGCTCGGCAAAATTTAGTTCACTTTTCCCCTTTCTGGTTCTATACTTCACGACTTTTGTCTTCTGATAAAGTTGAATGTAATGTTAATTTCATCAACAAACTAAGGACTGAACGCTTTGCTAATGATTAAGAGACATTTGTGAACTATGTTCGCTATCTCTAGAAATAGAAGAGAACATTCCTGCTACAGTTTTTTCTACAAGTCGTACTTTCGAGTTTGATCTAAGCATGTTATTATAGCACATTAGCTTATACGTTTCTCGTCTGGAAATTATTCAAGATGCAACTGATCAAATACATCGTCACATTTCATATTTTCAACCGTGTGGTGATTACCGGTGACAATCAACACTCGGTGTCTTCAAACAGCCATTTACGGCTGTACGTAAAAATGGCTGCCTATTGTGTCTCTGGTAATACATTAAGAACTTTTTTCTATTATAGACTTTTCTAAATTACATTCGTTCGAGTGGACAAACATCTCAGCTCATTACTTAAACATTTGTTTAACTTCTAATCTATGACTTACACCTTAATTTCTCTATCCATAAACATAATTAAAGTGTTTCTCCTTTTTAGTTATTTGTTTATCAAACTATTGAATTTGATCAATATTGTCGGTCAATTACTATTATTACACATCTTATTCGGCATTCGGTTATGTACTTTGGATTGGCACACGAAAAATTTTCCTACAAAATTTTATTGTCTCGTTGAAACAGAACGGGCTGGTAAGTACTCCTTAACAACGTGATAGTAGTTCTGCTTCACAGATATCCAGATCCAAGAAAACGGCACCGTTAATGGTAAATTAACGTGCCGTAAACGGACCGTTTTCAGATCCTAAAACTCGTAACGTTTTAGGGTCTTAAATAGATCGTTTTCTAAACGTTTTCTTACCATTTACTGGCCGTTTTTTTGTCGTTTTGTGAACCTTAACGGGCCGATTTTTAGAAGTTATATTAACTCCTAAAAAATTTTCCTCCAGCTTCGTGATATTGACTTATCGTTCGAATCTACCCTTTCTTACTAATCCACCTAATCTAGGTACTAGACTATACAGGCCCTTAATAGCTAGTTAACGGATAGTTTTTAGGCCGTTTTTTGGGACTTTATGCTAAAGTGATTTTAGAATGATTTTCCAACGTTTCATGACACATAGAGTACTTCAGGGTAATTAGAGACACTCTTGGAAACTTTCGTTCTGGTTTTGCCATTTCTCGGCCTTTTTGGTCGGAAAAGCAGGCTACTGAACACGGTGGTAGACCGAACATTTTCTACACGCTCACGTAAAAGTCTTGATGAAGAAAGTGTCCGGCTTTTTCCGGATCACGGCGCCAATTTGTGAGCGTCGTTTAAGCGACGTCCCGACTTCTGCAACAGTCTGACTAACTTCTGTGAGCTAACTTAAGTATATTTAAGTTAACTTTATTATATTTTATTTATTTTTGGTTTAAGATTTTCTTCTCTTTTTCTTTATTTAAAAAAAAGAAAAAACTTAAAATAAGATTTTAAAATTATTTACAAATTTCGAAAGAAAAGGTTACAAGTCAATTTTTGTAGCCTAGAAACAATATATTATGTTCAATTCACAAACATTGTCAATAGTATTAATTATCGGTAGGAAATTAATATAATTGACATTGTCGAGTGAACGAATTTTCTTTCTTTCGTATTTCTAGCGCGTATATTTTTAGAATACGAAAGTCGGAGGTGATGTAATTTGAAAAACTGATTTCATCAACAAGTGTGGCGTACAATTTAAACAGTTGTGAAATACGCAGAAAAAACTAACTGCAGCCGTTTTACATATTTTTATCTGCTATACTCTTTTTACTAGTTATAACTTCGAGCCTAACAGCTGTAGTTCGAAGATTACAGTAAAGGAATAGTAACGGGCTTCGAGACCGTTACATCACCTCCCCGCCAATGATGAAAAGATTCGTCCT